GAGGGCAGGGAGGGAGGGAGGTCAGGGAGGGAGGGAGGTCAGGGAGGGAGGAAGGTCAGGGAGGGAGGGAGGTCAGGGAGGGAGGGAGGTCAGGGAGGTCAGGGAGGGAGGGAGGTCAGGGAGGGAGGAAGGTCAGGGAGGGAGGAAGGTCAGGGAGGGAGGGAGGTCAGGGAGGTCAGGGAGGTCAGGGAGGGAGGGAGGTCAGGGAGGGAGGGAGGTCAGGGAGGGAGGAAGGTCAGGGAGGGAGGGAGGTCAGGGAGGGCAGGGAGGGAGGGAGGGAGGGAGGTCAGGGAGGTCAGGGAAGGAGGGAGGTCAGGGAGGGAGGGAGGTCAGGGAGGTCAGGGAGGGAGGGAGGTCAGGGAGGGAGGGAGGTCAGGGAGGTCAGGGAGGTCAGGGAGGGAGGGAGGTCAGGGAGGGAGGGAGGTCAGGGAGGTCAGGGAGGTCAGGGAGGTCAGGGAGGGAGGAAGGTCAGGGAGGGAGGGAGGTCAGGGAGGGAGGGAGGTCAGGGAGGTCAGGGAGGTCAGGGAGGGAGGGAGGTCAGGGAGGTCAGGGAGGTCAGGGAGGGAGGGAGGCCAGGGAGGGAGGGAGGCCAGGGAGGGAGGGCAGGGAGGGAGGGAGGTCAGGGAGGGAGGGAGGTCAGGGAGGGAGGAAGGTCAGGGAGGGAGGGAGGTCAGGGAGGGAGGGAGGGAGGGAGGTCAGGGAGGGAGGGAGGGAGGTCAGGGAGGTCAGGGAGGGAGGAAGGTCAGGGAGGTCAGGGAGGTCAGGGAGAGGGAGGTCAGGGAGGGAGGGAGGTCAGGGAGGAAGGTCAGGGAGGGAGGGAGGTCAGGGAGGGAGGGAGGTCAGGGAGGGAGGGAGGCCAGGGAGGGAGGGAGGTCAGGGAGGTCAGGGAGGGAGGGAGGTCAGGGAGGTCAGGGAGGTCAGGGAGGGAGGGAGGTCAGGGAGGTCAGGGAGGTCAGGGAGGGAGGGAGGTCAGGGAGGTCAGGGAGGGAGGGAGGTCAGGGAGGGAGGGAGGTCAGGGAGGGAGGGAGGTCAGGGAGGTCAGGGAGGTCAGGGAGGGAGGTCAGGGAGGGAGGGAGGTCAGGGAGGGAGGTCAGGGAGGGAGGGAGGTCAGGGAGGGAGGTCAGGGAGGGAGGAAGGTCACGGAGGGAGGGAGGTCAGGGAGGTCAGGGAGGTCAGGGAGGTCAGGGAGGTCAGGGAGGGAGGAAGGTCAGGGAGGGAGGGAGGTCAGGGAGGGAGGGAGGTCAGGGAGGTCAGGGAGGTCAGGGAGAGAGGGAGGTGAGGGAGGTCAGGGAGGTCAGGGAGGTCAGGGAGGTCAGGGAGGGAGGGAGGCCAGGGAGGGAGGGAGGCCAGGGAAAGAGGCAGAGCTGGGCTTCCGCCGAGGTCCTGGGTAAGACGCCATCGCCAGGTCACGCACAAACAATCCTCGTCCACCAGGGACACCCCAGGACCCCAGCGGAGGCTGGAAACCACAGATGGGCTCTAAGTTTGACTTGTAAATCAAGCACAGGCCAGGTGCGGCAGCCCAGCGACTCAGGAGGCTGAGACGGGAGGATCACAAGTTCGAGGCCAGTCTTAGCAACGTAGTGAGGTCCTGGGCCGAATTAAGAAATAAAGGAGAGGACTGGCGGGGGACACAGCTCCGTGGTAAAGTGCCCGGTGCCATCCTCAGTGCCCAAAAGCATCTTTAAGACTAGGCCCGGCTCCTAGAAGGTGAACCTGTCGGACTCAAGTAGAACCTGGGCAGCCTTCCACCGTACAGTGTGGACCTGCCGGGCCAGGGGACCGCTCCCGTGCCCAGCGGGACGCGTGAGGTCGCATCCTGCCCACTCAGGACAGGACACAGCTGACGACTTACCAATTGTTGGTTTCTGGAATTTTCCGCTGTCTATTTTTGGACTCTGGCTGACCACAGGAAACAAACTGGAAAGTGAGACCAGGGAGGGGGACGGCCAAACAGCCGCGAGGGCCAGCCAGGACCTCCCTGCACGAGCCTAGTGACTCCGCGTGAGCCTCTGTTGCCCCGAGGAGGGCCGTCACCGTCCCCTTGGCCAAGGAAGGTAGGGGACAGAGCACTAAAGTCAGGCTGAGGGTCACACACGGGCATGTGGCAGGGCAAGACTCGAACCCAGGCCACCAGCCCCTAAGCCTCCCGGAGCAGCCTCCCGCGCTCCACGCCCGGAAATAAGAACCGGCTCCATCAGAGCCCCCAGGGCTCACCCCAGCCTCCTCTGCACACGGACCTGGGAGGCACACGTGGCGGCCCGCCCTGCAGTGTCCCCACCTCCCAGTGGCACAGACGGCAGACCCCAGGGGCACAGACCGCCGTGACCCCGAGGCAGCGAGCCCTAGGGAGCACCGGCAGCCCACTGCGCCCAAATCGCTGTGTCCCCCTCCTCAATTGGGCAGGGAAGCAGCCGACTGCTCAGAGCCTCCCCAGACTTGTCACCACTGGGACAAAACAGCTTCCTAGGACCCCCACATTCCACAGGTCCCCAGCGTCCCCGCCAGGCCACCCTGGACACCTGCTCTACTGACTGCTTTGAACTGAAGGCACCAGAGAGTCATGGAGGCTGGGCCAGGCTCCCCCTGGACTCCCCCATCTGCCTAGAGACAGGTCCTCCAAGAGGAGCAGGCTGGTCACCAGCGCCCTCCCTAGCGGGTCATCCAGAGGTTAACCTGCGAGGTGGCGAGTCACAGCACACCCAGACAAGCTCCGTCCCAAACCACGCGGTCCCCACGTCTCCCCGGGAGGGACCCCTGATCCGGTCCCCACGTCTCCCCGGGAGGGACCCCCGACCCGGTCCCCACGTCTCCCCACATCTCCCCAGGAGGGACCCCCTCCCGTCCCCACGTCTCCCCAGGAGGGTCCCCCCGCCCCCGTCGTCCCGTCCCCACGTCTCCCCAGGAGGGTCCCCCCCTCGTCCTGTCCCCACGTCTCCCCGGGGGGCCCCCCCCCATCCGCTCTCCCTGCCTTGCCTCGGGCCCCCTCAGCCACCGAGGGGGCTCACTCCTTTTCCCAAGTCACTCCCTGAGCAGGACACAGCAGTGGACACCTGTTCATTTCATAGGGAACCCCGAGGTGGACGGCCAGGCTCTCTGCCCTGCAGACCCACAGGGAGTGCCCGGCGCCCCGCGCCCCCCTCATTAGGAGGAGACGGGACCCGGCAGGCCAGTCACCACCACACAGGGGAGGGGTCCTGTCCAGAGGTGGGGAGCCACTCATGGAGGTCACCAGACAAGCCGGGGGAGGAGCTGGGACCAGGATCCGCCCAGAGCCTTCATGGCCCCGGGAAGAAGTCCTGTCACCATCTGGACGGGAGGGGAGGGGGCCGCACCCTGATGGAGCAAGAGCCAGATGTTCCCAGATGTTCCCAGACAGGGGGCTGCTCAGGCCCCCACCCCACTGGCTGGCAAGGCAGAACCCCGGGAGGCAGAGGTGCCCACTTCCACCCCTGGGCGGTCCCTGTCCTTCCCCAGGTAGTCCCCGGCCCCTCTAGCCCAGCAGTGTCGCGTGGCCTCCTCCGAGCGACACCGACTTAGCATTTCTGATGAGGGGCTGGGGACAATAGTTCCCTGGGAGGGGACGCTCCCTGAGCCTCTCAGCGGATCCGTCTGCCCCTGGCGGCTCCCCTTCCCAGTCTTCCCGGACAAAGCCTTTATTTTTTAACAAATGAATCTGCAATCAGAAAGGAAGAGGGACCTGGGGAGACGGGGTGGTCTCCAGGCTGCGGCTGCCCACTGTCCGGGAGGCCTGGGAACGGCCAGAGGAGGGCTTCGCTGGGAGCGGGAGAGGACAGGGTCTCAGGCCCTCGCCGGCCGGGGGAGGGGAGACCACAAGCCCGCGTGGGCCTTCCAGAACCTTCTCAAGGGTGACGTCCAAGGGGCCAGTGGTGGACGTGAAGTCTGGACAGGTGGGGGGACAGGTGGGAAGCGTGGACACGACTCCTCCGCGTCGGGTCTGGTGCTGGACAAGCCACACCACAGCTGCACTTCTCTGAGCTTCAGTCCAAGATGGTGCCGCCCCGCTGCGGGGGTCATCCAACTGGGAGCCCCCAGAGCCCAGCAGCCCTCAGAAGACACTGCAGGGTCCACACACCCGGCCCCCGGCCAGCCGTCCTCACCTCCGACTCTGTCAGGACCTCCACCTGGGACCCCGGGACAGACGTCACCTGGAAGTCCCCGAGCTGAGGCAGAGAGCACGTGAGCAGGTGGCCACTCGGGACAGCCCAGGACCTCACCGGCACCCACCCGCAGACCAGTTCTGGGGCCCAGGTCGGTGCCAGGCAGGAGAACCCTCCCCACACACAGAAGGTTCTAGGTCCTCATGTTGGATGCCGGCGTCTCCAACAGCAGATGGCCGACACCCAGGTGCCACAGTCCCCACAGGAGGCGTGGACAGTCTGTGTTTGCCCAAAAAGCCCTGGAAGTCTGGTTGACCGCCCACTACAGACAGATGGCGAGGCTTGTCAGCGAGCGGTAAGCGGCACCGCCAATGAGAAGCCTCAGAGGCCTCAGGTCAACGCGCTGGGGACCGGGTCACTGCGACAAAAGACTCTGCAGACAGAAGCACTCCTGCCGGGCAGGCGGGCGCGGGCGCTCGCTCGCCGTCCTACACAGCCAACAGCCAACGCAGCTTCTTAAAAACTTAGTTGAGGGCCAGGGATGCAGCTCCGCGGGAGAGCTCTGCCCAGCACGTGGCGCCCTGGGTTCCACACAAAAAGAAAAAGTGACCGTTTTTTACAGCATTTAGTTTTTACAGCCAACAGAGCAGAAGTCAAGAGACTCCCCACGCGCCTCCCTGTGCCCTCACCCAAACCCCTCCCTGGCCTACACCTCCCAGAGTGGCCGACTGTCATCATCAGTGACCCCACAGTGATGGCGCATCACTGTCACGCCACGTGCGAGGTTTGCATGGGGGCCACTTTGGGTGTCTACACTCATGCATGACGTCCTGTGGCCACCCGAGTGTCACACAGAACCACTGCTCCACGGCTTCATGTGTTCACAGTGGCCGATGGTCACTCACCTTGTCCAAAATCCAATTCCTCTGCTAGGGTCCAGACCAGCGATGGTCCCCGTCACCCTGCTGGGAGTCCTGGGGCGACACAGTTCTGTTTGGCATCAAGATGTTTCCCAGGGATAGGGGTGAGGCTCCCTGGTAGAGAGCCTGCCTCGCACGCCCCAGGCCCTGGGTTCCATCTTCCACACCACACACAAAGTCCTCCCGGACAATGACTCCCTCTCAACATCACCAGGACCACTTCTTACCTGAATTCTTGCTTAGAAGCCATGTCTTTACTCAGGAGGCTGAGGCAGGAGGATCACAAGTTTGAGGCCAGCCCTGGCAATTTAGCAAGACCCCGTCTCAAAATCAAAAGGGCCAGGGATGTAGCCGGGTGCACAAGCCCATGGTTCAGTACTGCAAACTATTAAAATTAAAACCCCCAAGGCAACTCAGAGCCGCCAGGAAGACCCCATCCCACGCTCTACGCGGAAACACAAAACCTTTTCAGAGCCTCTGATCAGCCAGTGCTCCAAACAGACCTCAGGCAAACCAGAAGGCCATTTCTGTGGGGCGCGAGGCTTCGCCCAAGAAACACTGGACCGTCGTCAGAGTGGACAGAAGAACATGGTGGGCACTTCCACGTGGAAGGACGTCGGGAGCCCTGGGGAGCCCCCAGCGAGTCGGCCCACATTCCTCCAGACCAGCACCCAGCACCTCACCCGTACACAAGGGCCAGTGGCCAGGTCTTGTGCTTCCAGCCCTGACCACCTCTTTGTCCAGGGACCTTGGTGTGAACTTCCCACCCCACGGACCTGCAGATCTGACCCCGTCTGTCCTTGGAGCGGCCTGACCCCCTCCTGAGGCTTCCTGTCCCCCTGCTGGACCCACCAAGGCACCTCCGACAGCCCAAACGGCGCCACTCGCCCATCTTCTCTGGGGTCCTCACCTGCTGAGCACCAGTCCCCTCGGGGGACTCCTCTCTGGGTTAACAGATTGGAAATTCTGAGGGCTGTGGCCTCCCCTTGGCCTCCCCACTGTCAAGGTGGCCTCCCAGATGCCCCGGAACACCCTCCCGTAAGGCCGTCTGGCACGGGCCAAGCACGTCCAGGATGACCAAGCCTGGAGGCCCCGCCCGCCTCCCTCCGCAGGGCCCCTGCAGGCTGGTGCTGGGGGGAAAGGGGCAGGCGTATCCGGTGCCCACGGGAGGGGGTCCAGCTGACCCTGGAGGGCCCCCAACGGCACCTGCCCTGTCCGTAGGCTCCCTGGTTCCCACCTCCCTGCTCCCACTGGGTCCCCGGCTTAGCACCCCGACGTCGTACCAGGAGACGGGTGTTGGCCAGTGCCGTCTGGGCTGGGCCCCTTCCGAGCGAGCGCTTTACACACCAGGTTTCTCAGTCGGGGCGCTTTACTACCTCGGGGGTCTGTTGTAGGGCTGCTCTGCACGTAGGAAGGTTCAGCAGCTTCTCCGGCCTTACCACTGCGTCCCAGTACGTATCCCCGTTGTGACAATCAAAAATGCATCCAGGAGGACCAAATGTCCCTCAGGAGGGGGTCAACTATCCAGGCTGAGAACCACTGATCTACGTTGACTCACTCACACCTCGTAACCAGTTTGGAAGTAGGTAGTCCTTATTTTCCTCACTTTACAGAGGAGGCAACTGGGGCTCAGAGAGGTTGACTAATGGACCCAAGATCACACAGCCAGCATTCGAACCTTGGGAGTCTGGCTCCTCACACACTGCCTGCTGGGCATGCACCAGGAGTGGGGCTAGTCCCCGACCCTTGTAGAGGACAAAGCCTGAAGCTGGCCAGCTAGAGGTTGCTCGGGGGAAGAGCCGACTTGGGAGATAGAGGGGCCAGAATCTGCTGGGGCCGGGAGAGCACAGTGAAACCCGACTGGGGGGCCACCCTTTGCAGACTTGGGCCGGACGGACGTTCACCTCAGTTTCACCGAGACGTGACCACACCTCAGAGAGGCTTCCGTCGGAGGAATCCGCCCGGGGAGGTTCTCTCACCTGCCCTAAGATGCCCCGTGTCCCCGGCTGGTGAGGGGCTGTCCACCTGCAGCCCCGAGGACCGAGGACCGAGGACCGAGCCTGGGCCTGGGGTGGCTCGAGGCGCTGGGTCTGTCCTTTGCTCCTGTAGGCCCTGCCGGCCAGCCCTGGCCCCTCCCAGCTCGGCTCCCTGGGAGCTGGCCGGCCCTGAGGTGCCCCGGGTCACCCCCTGCAGAGCTGCCCTCCCCCACGCCCCCTGCCCTTCCTGGGTCAGGCTCCTGGACACAGGTGGGACCAGGCGTCCCTGGAGGCTGCATCACCTGCCCGCGCCAACACCATCCATGCAGGAGGCACCCGTCCAGCCCACGGTCTGCAACCAGGCGAGGCCAGAAAGGCAGGGACCGTGCCCTAAGGGCCACCAACCTGCTCCTGGAAGAGAACATTAAGGACCCAGGGGACCGAGGGACAAGAGGTGACACCAGCTACGCAGGCTCTCACAGGGGCAGAAGTGCCCTCTACGCCTGGCCCAGCCTTCGTCCCCGTCTTGGCTGCTGGCCCCACTTCCTCGTAGCTCCACCGGTGACCTGGGCGTCTGTGGCCCTCCTCCCTCTGCGCCCGTCCTCAGGGCCCCCAGCAACGCGGGCCTCCCGCCCTCTGCCCACGGGCCCTTCCTGCCCTCCCTCGCTCCGTCCACTCATCCATTTGCCCACCCACCTGTCCACTCACACACCTCTACCTCCGTGGCCGTGGGCCCAGGCAGCGTACCTCCTCTCTGACCTGGACAGCTGCAGTCCCTCCCACCTACCCTCTGTGTCCATGAGGCACCCCCCAGCAGCCAGATGGGGTCCCCCCGGTGCTGGAGACGGGACCCGGGGCCTCCTGAATGTAGGAAGGGCTCTGCCCCCGAGCTGCACCCCGAGCCCCAGAGGCCCACGTAACCCCGGGGACTGAAGAGGTTGGGGCAGGAGGGTCACGAATCCAAGGCCAGTCCCAGAAACTGACCGAGAGGCCGTCTCAAAAACGCAGCGGGCTGGGGAGTGGGAGGGCACCCCTGGGTTCACCCCCGTGCGACACACGCAAGGCCCCACTGCTCCCAGCTTGGCTGCCGAGCCGCCCGTCTTCCACATGCCCCACCAAGTCCCCGCCACGAACTGGCCTCTGCCTGCCCGGCCACACCCCGAGACTCTCGCCCTCCCGCCAAGGAGGGCAGCTCTGCCCGCCCCAGGCCCATCCCCCCGCTGCCCGCGTCCCGGGTGACACAAGCCAGGGCACAAGCCTGTCTCCCCAGGGTGCCCACCGTGTCCGGAGGAGGCCCCCGCCTGTCCAGCTCGGCACCCCTCTGGAGCCCTTGTCAAAAGCTGTCATTAGGGCTGGGGACGCGGCTCAGTTGGTGGAGGGCTTGGCTGCAGGCTCAAGGCCCTGGGTTCAATCCCAGCACAAAAATCAGTAAAGAATAAGAACAGATTATCTAAGCTGACTTGTTCATCCTCCAGCTTCTGGGAGAGAACCTGGTCCCACGGAGACGAGAAGGGCTGAAAGGGTACGAGTGACCCAGCCACGTGGCCCTGGCCCTGCGCCTCACAATCTCTCATTAAGGGGAGTAATGACGGCACAGTCCCCGAGGAAGTGCCGTCATTACTCCCCTTTTACAGACAAAGTCACCGAGACCCTGAGCAGCTTGCCGGGGGACTCACGGCTGGTCAGCGCAGCCTGTCCACACCAGGGCTCTTCAGCGACAGCTTCCCTCCTCCCAAGCGCCCAGCCTGCGCCAGCCTGTTGGGCCCCTCCCCACCCTGGGGGAGCATCCCTTGCCATCTCACCTGGACCCTGGGAAACACTGAGCGAGGCGTGATCTCGGGCAGGAATTCCTCTCTCCCTGATACTTTGGCTCAGGGAACAAAACCCTCTTTGCGTTCAAGTATCAATAGATAGAACCGCGTTTCAGTCACACTCGGCCCAATCCTCTTCCCGCTTCCCTTCAGCGTCTGACCGCGCAGCCCCTGGGAACCAAATCGACAATCGAAGCACAGGTGCGGCCTCTGCTCGGTGGGGACCGCTGCCTCTGGTTTAGGGCCAAAGCCAAAGCCTGGACCTGCCAAGACCTCTCGGAGGGGACCTGTCCCAAGAGCCATCTGCCCGAACCAGGTCTGTGCCCTCCATTCTCAAGCCCTTAAGAAGCACATTTTAATTTTATAAAGAGTTTCAGGAAAACAAAGGCCATTTCATGATGGATCCCTGGTGGATTAAGCGAGGCGCGGAGCCCACGGGGTTGGGGGTGGTCCGTCTTCACCGTCCTCTTGCTGACTTGTAAGGAGAGATGGGGAAGGGACTGAAATCAAGGTCATCTCTGCAGCCAGGAGACGAAACAAGACTCAGGTCCACTTCTGCAGGTGTCCATTCTGGTGAGGGTTCACTCACTTACTCAGCCCACTGCCTACTGCGCGCCGGGCAGCATCAGATGCTGAAATATGAGGAGCCCTCCAGCAGCCTGCCCTGTCCAGCCGCAGCCACATGGGGCTTCTTGAGCCTTTGAAATATTGCTAGTGCCAGGGCCAGTGGTCATCTCACCCTGACTCCTATGGAAACTGGAGGTCAGTCAGCTGTGGGAAAACCCAACGTGTTCAGAACAACCCGGACCCCGTCTACACCGGATGGGGGACACCTAAAGGCAGAGGGAGACTTACAGTGAAGATACAGCCTTCAGTTTAGATGTGCTTCAGGATGAAATGCAAGTGAACCTCAAAGGCCAGAGGCCCCTCAGGTCCTCCTTGTGATCACATCCCCATCAGGTTGAACACCCTCTAAAAATTCATCTCCAGCCATTCAGGGCCGAGGCAGGAGGATCAGAAGTTCCAGTCCAGCCTGGGCAACGGGCGAGGGCGGCCACCTCACAGCGACAGAGCCCCCGGGTTAAACCCGCAGCGCCCCAATAAATGAAAGTCAACTTCTTCCTTTTACAGTTTTAGAACCAGGAAAGGGGCCAGGGCTGTGGCTCAGGGGTGCAGCTCGCCGGGCGCTGCGAGGTGGCCCCGGAGACCACAGCAGTAAATAGACCCGGGCAGGTTCGCGCGCAGCCTGGCCCCGCGGAGGAGACCCTCGGGAGCTCCCCTCGGAGGAGACCCTCGGGCCCTGGGCACGCTCCACGGAGGAGACCCTCGGGGGCCCTGCGGAGGAGACCCTCGGGCGCTGGGCGCGCTCCACGGAGGAGACCCTCGGGAGCTCCCCTCGCCCCACGGAGGAGACCCTCGGGCGCTGGGCACGCCCCACGGAGGAGACCCTCGGCGCTGGGCACGCCCCACGGAGGTGACCCTCAGGGGCCCTGCGGAGGAGACCCTCGGGAGCTCCCCCATGGAGGAGACCCTCGGGCCCTGGGCACGCCCCACGGAGGAGACCCTCGGGCGCTGGGCACGCCCCTTGCGCCCCTCTGCCCGCGCCAGGCTGGAGAGCGGGTCCCGCAGCGCCCCAGTCCGCGGAGGATGCAGGAAGGAGGCTCCACCGTGAGCTCTGACCCCCGACACCCAGCTCCGGCGGGAGGTGAAAGGGCACGGGGTGCTGCTGCTCCGGGCAGGCGACAGCCAGGCGTCCTTACCCGGGGTGGCTCCCTCCCGCCAGCGCCCAGAGCAGCGCAGCCCCAACCCAACCGTGGGCGACCCCCAGCCTCACCCTCCGGCCGCTCCCCCCCACAGCGCTCAGCCCGTGGGTGAGGGGAGGCTCCAGGGCAAAGCTCCAGCCAATCAGAAGCGCCCAGCGCAGTGCTGTCCCCACCCCAGGGAGCGAGGGGGATCCCCCCTGGAGAAGGGAGCCGCTTCCCTGTCCCCGGGGCAGAGGGCCACCGTGCGGCCCTGGTTTTCTAAATCTGCGACATCGGAACACACAGTTGCCCATCGGCATGTTAGAGTGTCCCATTCGGTGGCACCCAGAGTCCTGCTATGTGCCTCCAGGCCACCAGCCAGCTCTCTGCTCAGGCCTGTTCCCTCCGCTGGGGGGGGACGGCGGGGGGGGGGGCACCCTCCCAGAGGTGGGGGTCTCCAAAACTGCAGGCCCAAGTCCTCAGAGAATGGGGGTGAGGGGCTGGAGGCCAGGGGTCTGCTGGCACCTGCTGGCACCCTCCCCAGGCCCCCCCAGGACTTGCCTCACCTCCAGCACTCCCCCCCCAGGACTTCCCTCACCTCCAGCACTCCCCCCCCAGGACTTCCCTCACCTCCAGCACTCCCCCCCAGGACTCCCCCCCCAGGACTTCCCTCACCTCCAGCACTCCCCCCCCCAGGATTTCCCTCACCTCCAGCACTCCCCCCCCAGGACTTCCCTCACCTCCAGCACTCCCCCCCCCAGGACTTCCCTCACCTCCAGCACTCCCCCCCCCCAGGACTTCCCTCACCTCCAGCACTCCCCCCCCCAGGACTTCCCTCACCTCCAGCACTCCCCCCCCCAGGACTTCCCTCACCTCCAGCACTCCCCCCCCCAGGACTTCCCTCACCTCCAGCACTCCCCCCCCCAGGACTTCCCTCACCTCCAGCACTCCCCCCCCAGGACTTCCCTCACCTCCAGCACTCCCCCCCCCAGGACTTCCCTCACCTCCAGCACTCCCCCCCCCCCAGGACTTCCCTCACCTCCAGCACTCCCCCCCCCAGGACTTCCCTCACCTCCAGCACTCCCCCCCCCAGGACTTCCCTCACCTCCAGCACTCCCCCCCCAGGACTTCCCTCACCTCCAGCACTCCCCCCCCCCAGGACTTCCCTCACCTCCAGCACTCCCCCCCCCAGGACTTCCCTCACCTCCAGCACTCCCCCCCCAGGACTTCCCTCACCTCCAGCACTCCCCCCCCAGGACTTCCCTCACCTCCAGCACTCCCCCCCCCAGGACTTCCCTCACCTCCAGCACTCCCCCCCCAGGACTTCCCTCACCTCCAGCACTCCCCCCCCCAGGACTTCCCTCACCTCCAGCACTCCCCCCCCCAGGACTTCCCTCACCCCCACCACTCCCCCCCCAGGACTTCCCTCACCTCCAGCACTCCCCCCCAGGACTTCCCTCACCTCCAGCACTCCCCCCCCCCAGGACTTCCCTCACCTCCAGCACTCCCCCCCCAGGACTTACCTCACCTCCAGCACTCCCCCCCCAGGACTTCCCTCACCTCCAGCACTCCCCCCCCCAGGACTTCCCTCACCTCCAGCACTCCCCCCCCAGGACTTCCCTCACCTCCAGCACTCCCCCCCCAGGACTTCCCTCACCTCCAGCACTCCCCCCCCAGGACTTACCTCACCTCCAGCACTCCCCCCCCAGGACTTCCCTCACCTCCAGCACTCCCCCCCCAGGACTTCCCTCACCTCCAGCACTCCCCCCCCCAGGACTTCCCTCACCTCCAGCACTCCCCCCCCAGGACTTGCCTCACCTCCAGCACTCCCCCCCCAGGACTTCCCTCACCTCCAGCACCCCCCCCCAGGACTTCCCTCACCTCCAGCACTCCCCACCCTGCACCTCCGTTACTGAACTCGGGGTTCTCAGTCCCCGTGGTGGTGACCTAGGAGCTCCTGCAGGGCTCAGGTACTAGCCTCCTTCTCTGCCCGCCCCCCAAATAAACGTGCCTGATAAACAGCCTTTGGGGGACCAGAGGTGGAGCCCAGGGCATTCAGCACTGAGCCACATCCTAGCCCTTTCCGTTTTGTTGACAGGATCCCACTGAATTGCTGAGGCTACTTTGAATTGTGATCCTCCAGCCTCAGCCCCCTGGGTTCCTGGGAGTGCAGGCTGACCGCTGTGTCCAGGGAAGGAACTTTCTCAGTCAGCTAGACGCACTGGCCTGGGGGACGTCCATGGCTGATGCATTTCAGCTGGGCTCTGGGGGTGGGGGGGGGGCGGTGCTGGGCCTTGTGCACTTGAGGGACGGCTCTGCCAACCCAGCGATACCCCAGCCCTTATTGGTTTTGAAACCAATAACACCTGCTCCCAGCTCAGACACCTTCACGGTCGGGCTGGAAACTTAGAAGCCGCCTGGGCCCACCTGCTTGGGGGCCTCCAGAGGAGCCAGGAGCCAGGGGGGAAATGAAATGCATTTCACAGGCAGAAGCCGTCCAGGGCTCCAGGACAGCCCGGGTCAGAAAGGAACGGTCACTGTGCCTGGGAATCTCTGGAAGCAGTTGACGAAGGAGAGATTTCCTTGTGACTGAAAAATAAAAATCACCATATGATAATGGCGCTGCCATCAGGAGACTGTCTCAAACATGGGGAAAGCCCCCCTGTGCGCGAAGCCATGCAACTCACTCCCCAGCAACAACCGTGCGAGGTGAAGTGAGCGTCATCCCAGGGTAGACAAAGTGGAGAGACAGAGAGGGTAGGCCACTTGCCCACAGACACACAGCTCATGGGGATCCTGACCCAGCCTGGTTCCAGAGTGCCTGCTCTTAACTCTGGAGGTTGCTCAGAGGTCACGGTTTCCCCTCCATCTTCTCCCCCGTCTCTGCCCAAGGCCCGAGTCCCTCCACCATCCAGTCTCACTGAGCCAAATCCTGGCCGTCTTGCTGTCACCGTCTTCAGACAACAGAGTCGCATCCCAGGGGAGCCCTCCACGCAGTCCCAGGTCTGAGGTCTGGAAGTGGGGGAGGCCACGTCCTCCGGGCCACCCCGCTGCCTGCTGGGGTCACATCCCCGAGGCTGCCCGGGCCGGCCAGACAAGGACCCCCACGGCAGGGCCACAGGGACTCCGGGACTCGGGGTCACGCAGCACCAGGACTCGCAGCCAGGCCCTCGGAGATGCGCCGGTACTCTCCCCCCTGTTTCCCAGGCCACAGCTAGTGTCCTGTCCCTCCTGGGGCAGGCCCTGGGCTGGCCATCACGCACAGGCCACGGTCCGCGGGATGAGGAAGCCCTTTATTTCTGAGATTCATTTTAAGAGCCACTTTAAGTTCTCAGGAGAATCAAGAGGAAAGAACGGAGGCTGGGGAGTGGCTGGGTGGGTGGAGCGCTCCTAGCACGCGGGAGGCCCGGCCATCCCTCATCTCCTCCGTCCAGAGTGGGGCTCACCCAGGTCCAGGGTCTCCACCGGGACTTGCTCTTCAGGTTGGAGGTCCTAAGAATGTGGAAGAGTGGGTGTGACAGGTGTGACAGGAGTGTCACGGGCCTACCAGGACCCAAGGCCGCCCCGGTCACCCTCCCTCCCCAAACGGGCAGCCACTGCCCTGAGGGCCTCGCCTTGTCCAGAACATTCGGGGCAGCACAGACGGACGGGGCCTTTTCAGAGCAGAGAAGCCTTGAAGCGTGAGGGATGGCCATGGTGCAGAGCTAGGGACGTGGGAGAGAGCGCCATGGCCCCTGGGCAGAGAAGAGCTGGCCAGCAGGGGCAGAGCCAGCCGCTGTGCAGGGGAAGGTCTCAGCCCAGGGCTGGCCCTTCTGCACCTCTGACAGGGAGAAAGCTGCTCCTAATGGGCTGTTGTCACAGCGTTGGAAAGCCCTGGGGAAGCCAGTGAGGACTGGCTCTTTGCTTCCTTGTTCAGTTAGCTGTGTGACCTCAGAAACGTTCTTGAGCTCTCTGGCTTATTCACTGATTGGGGAAAAAATAGGGATGATTTCTTTGCAGTGCTGGCGATCGGACCCAGGGCCTTCTGTATGCTAAGCAAGCACTCTACCACTGAGCGCCACCCCGAGTCCTCACTGGCAGAATAAAACGGGTGGAAATTACAGGCAAAGTGTCTTTCGGCTCCACATAACCTGCAAGTAGCAATAAAGAGGCAGAGAGAAACCAAGTGCGCGTACGTCATCACGTGATGGAACGGCAACAGCGAGGCGCATCCTTGAGACACACCATTCAATAAGGAAGCTCAGGAGCATCCTTCACAGAAAAATGGATTTGCTTCGTGCTAGAAGAGGCTCAGCCCTAGGAATAAAGGAAATGCAAATTAGAGCAACCAATGTGCTGCTTCAAAGGCCGAACACACCTACCGTTTGCTCCAGTCTCCCTGAGGTTTTTGCCCAAGAGAAAGCGGGTGCACAGGGACTCCTGAGGGGGCATTCACAGCCGCTTCAGTTTGTATTTGCTCAGAGATGGAAACAGCCCAAACACCCACCGACGGGATAAACCAAGTAAGGTTCATCCATGCAGCAGAACACGACACAGCCATGAAAAGGAGCAAGACTTGGGAACATCCCAGGAAGGGCTCACTGGGGGATTAAATGGCCATGGGAGGTGTTCCATTTGACCCTCTCTGCCACTCTGCCATGATGGTGACCCATAAACACGGGCCACTGCCCCGGGCACCCGCAGACCCGCTTACTAATTGACTAATTCCTGGCGGACATTTCTCAAAGATCAAGGACCCAGGACGCGGCTGAGCTCCAGGGGACGCCCCCAGGAGCACGCCCAGAGGCAGGCGCCAGCCTGTGACCACTCACCACCAGGGCAAGCAGGGGGCTGGGGCTGGGACGGCGGCCCTGGAGGGTCAGGTGGGCTCTCCAGAGGCGCAGGGCTCACTGTTGGGGAACCCCAAGTAAACGGCTCGGGAAGTGGGGGACAGAGGGGCACCAGGATCCGAGGCACTGAGCCAGGAGGATCCAAGCTCCGGGCCAGACCAGTCTCCAAAGATAAAGAGGCAGGGTGCAGCCAGCGTAGGGCACTTGGCAGCCTGCAGGGGGCGCTGGGCTGCCTCCCGCAACCCGCCAAGGGCCCGGGCCGTTTTGTAGGGGGAGGGGCACTTGCTGGGCCAGAGAGGGCAGGGGCCCAGGGGGTGTTCTTCTCTTCCCCCCATAAAAGGTGGACCTAGGGTCGTCGGCACCAGAACTAGGGGCGCAGCCAGGCAGTTTGGGCCTGAGCCTCGCCCCGCAGCCCGACTGTGCACCCACCTGGAGTAAGGAGAGCCGCTTCCCAGAGGCCAGTCTTCCCCACCGCCAGGATCTGCCCTCGAATCCCGGGCAGGCTTTATTGGAAAGGCCCTCCCCGACCCACCCGCCCCCGGCCGCTCATTGTTCCCACCTGGCCCAGGGGAGGGGCGTGGGCACCCCAGGTGTGCCTGGGCCGGCCTGGTGTCCCCAAAGTCCTTGATAACACCCCCCTTCATCTTCAAAAGCTCCTACCTGGGTTTATCACGTGACTTTAAAAAGAATATAGAAGCTGTATAACAACAGAAAGTCTTAGTGACAAATACCGTTATTTACTTTTGAACAACTAATGAACAGCAACTGGAGAACGGCGGCTTTTCCCCCCCAAGCCGGGCCTTGTTAGAGGCGTGACCACCCACAGCTGAGTGGAATACTACCTGGGCGTCAAAAAGGACGCAGCCCTGATTCAGGCTGCGGCTGGGACCACACGCGAGGACATCACCGCACGATTCCATTGGCATAAAGTGGACAGAACACAGCGGTGGGGTGGGGCAGACAGGGGGTTACAGCTAACCAGCGCAAGAGTGCTTCTCTCTCTTCACTGAACACCGTCTGGGCCTTCGATTGTGCTGAGGTGGCCTGGAACTTGGGGTCCTCCTGCCTCCACCTCCCCAGTGGCTGGGCGGCAGGCGAGGGCCACCACAGCAGCGGGCTCATCAACACGCTCTTGGGGACTCTGACCCTCCCAGGCACTCATTCCTCTTACCCAGGACCCAAAGAGAAGGCCTTCGGCTGCATCAGTGCAAAAATCGTCACCTGCCCCGTGCAGTGGTGGTGGCACACTCTGGTGACCCAGTGACCCGGGATGCAAAAGGGTCTAGGGCTGGAGCTGGGGACAGAGCAGTGGCAGGCGGGCACAGCCCGGGCTCCGCCCACCGTTCCCGCCCGCGGTGCGGTGCCAGGTCCCTGCAGGCTGCCCTGGGCACAGGCGAGCCCCTGCCCCCTGGCACCTGGGCTGACCCGGGTCGGGACGAGGCCCAGCGAGGGGGGTTCTCGCGCCCCTGAGGCGGAGCAGTCTTTCCCCACTGGCTTCACCTGCCTGAAGCCGCCGTGGGCGGGGAGGCCGGGCCAGCTGCTTAGCCCAGCAAGGAGAAGGGACACCCTGACACCCACGAGACCCGCCACCTGCCGGTGACTCACTGATTTCCCCACAGGATGGCCCGAGGGCCCCTGGACGGTGACCACGCTGGAGGTCCGGGGCTTCCGGGGACAGGGCCACCCCAAAACAGACACCCGCAGACACCCCTCGCAGGCACACCCCCTTATCCGGGAAGATACCCGTCCCCCCACTCCGACCCCGTGGGGACGCCCAGCCGGCACGTGCCACCTGTGTGCTCACCACCTGCTCCCTGATCAAACGACCCGACCGGAGACTTGAGACAGAGGAGGCTCCCCACAAAACAGGGAGGACAGAGAGAAGACCAGGTCGGAGCAGGTCAGCTGCCAAGAGGGCTGTCCCTGGGGCTGTCCCTGGACGGGCGCTCCCTGCAATCTCCCTCGCGATGCTGCAGCCCGCAGATCCAATGCCACCGTGGCGGTGACGCGGATGTCACTCGCTAGGCTCAGAGGGCTGTGCTGTCCAGGGTCAGGGTTCCTGGGCAGAAGCGCGAAGCCCAGCCCACCAGGTCCCTCCTGGAAGGGGGGGTGGTCCTTCAGCTTTGGTTTCAGACACGAACTTGAAGTCACAGGAGCGACTCCCTTATCTAAATACTTGTCAACATCGACTTCCAGGTGTAGGTGGACACAGCACAACGCCCTCGTTTTCCTGGTGCTGAGCCAGTCCAGCCCCTTAGGGGACGACTTTAGGAAGCCTTTGTGCCTGTGATCCCAGCGGCTCGGAGGCTGAGGCAGGAGGACCTCAAGTTCAAGGCCCGGGCAACTTGGAGGTCTCAAGATTTAGAAAAAGCTGTTTGTGTTCTCGCCTCCGCCCTGTTTTACGCCCTGGAACCGTCCCGCAGTGACACCCACCCTCCCATGAAGCGGCTGCCAAGTGCCACCACTTCCTGTTTTTCCAAAATGTCCCCATTGGGGATGGCGAGGTCACCATGCTCCCGGGAGTTCCAGAGGGGGTCTTCACCCTCCAGGGCACACATGGGAGAAACCGAGACCCTCCGGGCAGAGGAGGAGACCGGGCGGGTGGGACTCCCGCTGCGGCCCGTGGAGTCACTCGCCCCTGAGATCACCTGTCACGGTACCTCTGCCAGCTGCCACTCCTCAGAGAGAGGCCATGACCCCAGTCGGAGAGGGAGAGACGCAATCAGACGCCGCCAGGGACAGCCTGCCCTGATGGTCAGCCTTCGAGACTCCTCTGCGTGGACACCGAGGCCATCTCCAAGGATGAAGGACGCATGGAGGGTGAGGAGCCTCCAGCCGGCTACCACTCACGGTGTCCCTGCGGTGTCCCTGCGTTGCGCCCCCCCCCGGGGGGCTTCTGGCTTTGGGAGTCCCTCCCCGTCCCCCACCAGCTGCCCAGTCCCTGCTGTATCTGAAGCCGGGCGGACAGGCCAACCAAGGACCACCTGAGCCAGGAGACTGGTTGACCTTGGCCTTGGCTCCTCCTGCCGGGCTCCCGTGTCACCCCAGCACAGCGTGGGACCTTCTGGAAAAGGCCGAGCTGGAGACAGCGAGGTCCCCGGTGGCCGGGAACTGGAGAAGGGGGACGGACGGCAGAGTGGAGGGTCTTCAGGGCAGGGAGCATGTCACACCCACAGGACACACACCCAGGCTCAACCCTAAGGCCAGCCACGGGCTTCAGATGGGTGGACAGTATGTGACCTAACTGTCACTTCTGGATGACATGTGACAGCCACATGTCCATGCAGGGTCAGCAGCTGTAGAGGAACAAGCCGTGGGGCTGTGGGCAGTGGGGTGCAGTCCCTGAGTGGGGACAGGGTTCACCGTCTGTTGAAAGGGAAGAGGCTGGCGGGTGAGTGCTGGGCGCAGGGTACCATGCACAGGCCTGGGTCCCACCCCACACCAAAAAGGGGGCAAGTCCTTAGATAGGGGACACCTTCCTAGACATGAGGGACCCTGCCGGGCTGCTCCTTGGGCTGTGAACTGGTTTGTTTCTTTTTAATTGCTCTAAATCTCGTTCCTTTAAAATTCTGAGATTAAACAAATAAAACCCTGAACCCACTCCCGGCCCTCGCTGGATCCTTTCCAATTCCTTGTGTCCCTCTGGTCACCCCTGAGCAGGCCTCGGGGAAGGCCACGCCAGGCTCCCTCTGCCAGGCTCCCTCTGTGCGGACGGAGGCCAAGCTCGGAGGCCAAGCCCGGGAGGCTGCGAGGCCACGGTCATAAAGAGTTGAGCAACGTGTGGCGACGGGAAACCAGTTGTCCCAGAGAAGGCATTTTCCTGGCCGTGCCGTGGGGGTGACAGGTGACGGCCACTTGTGGATGAAAAGGCAGAATTCTTCTTTGAGGTCCCAGTAGGTAAGTTGACTGTGACCCGGTGTTGGCATCGGACTGACCCTAAGGTCCCCAAGAAATGGTGGCCGGCCGGGGGGCATTTTGATCCCCAGATACATAACCACGACCGGTGGGGGGACCTCACACTCAGGCCCAGGGCCCCCCTGAGGCCTCGCGGAGCCTCGAGGCAGCTCCTGATCTGAGGACGCCGCCTGGTGTGAGTCGGCTGGAGGTCACCTGGGCACCGTGAGGTCACCTGGGCACCGTGAGGGGAACAGCCAACTCTGCGAGCCCCAAATTCTGTCCAACCCAAGGCCACACCGGCACATGGGGCCTGGGGAGCAGCCGTTCTCCAGAACCGGGAGTCGGGGTCTTGATGACAACTGAGCCACACCCAGATGCCATCATTTCCCTGCCCCTTCCAGAACGACTCAGGTAGGAAAGGGAGTGGGGGTGGTGGCCACGGGCTGGCCGGTCCAGGGCCCGCCTCCAGGGTCTCACCACCCAGATCAACTGACAAAGCGTCTTCTGTTCAGGGCTGAATGCAGACGGCTCTCCGTGTGCATCTCATTAAACCCAGAGCCACGGCTGGCTGCCATCGTGGCCAACGTCCAGCCTGACGCGCTGGCACCCGGCCCCCCCCATCTTGACGCGGGGACATCCAGCCAGTCTCAAGTGCGGTTCCCGAGGACTTTTCCGCCGTCACAGAGCACACCAGGGCTCTCTGCGGCAGCCCCCGGAGACCCACAGGCACTTTCCCTTCCCAGAGGAACCGATGGCAGTTCACGGACGAACCAGAGACTTTATTGCATTGAAAGCCGAGAGCACAGGGAGCGACGTGGGGGCCGGTGCTCGCTGAGAACAGCGTGGCGATTCCTGCACGCTCAGAATTCACACACACACAGAGCCATGTCACGCTGACTGTCCACCGAGGCAGATGTCCCTCCAGGCCTCGGTTTGCTCTCCGGGTGCCAGTCACGGGAGGGGACCCGGGGCCTGAGAAATGACCCCCTCTGCCTCAAGGTGTGCACCACAAGGATGACACGGAGGCCCACTCTGACCTGCCGCTCAAACCACATCCCCCGATGTGAGAAATGGTGTCCACATCCCGGGCCCGAGGTCTCAGCCCGGCAGCACGGGCCTGTGCCACGTGGCCTTCCTGCATGTCGGCCACACCACGGGGAACCCCAGAGGGGGCCCCAACCACAGGAAGCCCGTAGACAGTGGAGAAGACGACCCCTTCTTTGTCTGTTTATCAGAAAGAGGTGGTTCACGCCCTGGTCCCGGCTCGGAGGTGAGGCAGGACGCTGAGGCAGCAGTTCAAGGCCAGCGGGGCAACCCAGGGACACCCGGTCTCAGAACCAGAACCAGGGGCACCCCCTCTGGAAATCATGCCATCACATAGTTACAGAAAATGGTTCTATAAACCCTCCTTCAGGATCAGGTTCAACCAGGCCCCGTGGCGCACACCTGCCTCCCAGGGGCTGAGGAGGCTGGGACAGGAGGATCGTGAGCTCAAAGGCAGCCTCAGCAAAAGTGAGGCGCTCAGCAACTCAGTGGGACCCCGTCTCTAAATAAAATAGAAAGTAGGGCTGGG